GCAACAATATTGATTGAAAGAAAATTAATGTTTCTGATCAAATTATAATTAATGGATTATTTTGCCAGTAAATTTCATTGTTTCCATTAAAGCAACGTCTAAATTAAACATATAACAATGTCATGGAAGATTAAAAGCAGTCGCACAAAAAGTATAATCTAATATTGAAGTAGTAAATAACGAACTGTTCAGTAAATGTCGAAAACTTTGATAATTAAATTAATTAATGTTTCAAAGTTTCGTATTTTGCGCCATTATGAAGACTTTAATGTCTTTTTGATAAATTGACAGTTATTAATACTGATATGAAGTTTCTCCGTTATATTTTCTCAAACAGAAATTGTTCATTGCTTTGTAATAAAAGATCCTTTAAGTTTACTTCTTACTGTTAACTATTAATTTTAAACTTTTTAATCACTTTTACCCAACCAACAATGACTTTGTATGATGATTAAGAGTTTTTGCCTATTTTCCTAATTCGTAATTAGTGCCTGAACGTATCTAGTAGGCAATGGCATTTAACAACATTGATTAAAATAGTAAGAAATCCGAAATTCGAAAGCAAATTTATTCAATTAGGTAAGTCGTTACAATCATTGGCGAAGATAATTAGGAGATTTACTTCTAAATCGCATTTAAGCAATCTGTGACAACAGAGAAAAAATATTCTATATTCGAGGTTCCCACAGTGTTCTTGCATAGAATAAATTCAATTCACAATAATGGCATTAGACCTATACGTTAAAATAGCGTAAATATCTCGCTAATTTTACAAATTACAATTTTTATAGACAAACATTTTCTACTCTCTTTAGAAATTATGGAATCAGTACTTATGGACACAATTGATAATATATCGATATTTGAGTCAATAATTTATTGGTTTTTTTCTTACGCATAAAATACCAAGAATATTTACATAATTATATAGATTTTTCAATATTATCGACTGATAAAGAATTTTGTGCTTACTAATCGGAAATATGTGCCTATATTTTTAGTCTATTAGATAAGATATACATGTGCAAAAATAAATTACAAAGTACAAATTACCGCGTGAGTGCAAAATTAAATTATAAAATCTATAACATTGATTATCAATTATAATTTTTGCCGTGTAGTCAATCATGGATATTATACAAAAGATAATTAATTAACTACATAAATATCTACATATCTAGTCACTACTTTTTAAGTTTATTATAGGTAAATAATTGCAATAGCAACATTTATTCACATTTTTCTGTATTTCATAAATTCATAAGATACAAGATCAATTATTATTGTTTAAATAAAATTTTACTATATTTAGATACGCCTCTGGTTAGCACCCTGACAACTATTAATGCCCTATGTAGGCCGGGAGAATAATAATAAAGTGTGGACCAGAATTTTAATAGATATTGCATTGCTAGAAATCGATAACTAAGCATCAGATTTTTGAATATATTACAAATATGTAAGTAAAACTCTCTCCCATTCGCGTAAATTTTTTCTAATTATTTATGAAATGTCCTCGTAACTTAAAAATACAAATCCACTTTGTATAATCTCCTAATACTTATTGCTACGTGTTATATTGGAGAAATTATCAATTTAAAAGATTAAGAAATCAATAAAATGCGTTTTATTTACCCAGAATATTACCGATCAATATTTTTTACTTGTCAATAAATATTGTGTATTGGCCTTGTACAACATTTTAAATTTTTTCATACAGATCGAAAATAGGTCTGCTTATTTTGCTATTACACTCACTTATAAAATGATAATTCTCTTTCTTGAATTGATAAATAAATAATAGAAACGTAAATAAATAAATTAAAAATAAAGAGTAAAGTAACAATTTTACATATAGATATTCTTATGTAACCGGAGGTTCTAATTCATGCAATATTCACATGAGAGCTTTTTATAACAAGCTTCCAATATTCTAGGAAAAATAGCACACATAGGTATACGATTAGATATTCCTTATCAATTTTGGTTCCCTATTAGGGATGAATTGTTTATATGCATCAGGGAACCGTCAGTTGCATAGGGAGTGGTACAAGGGTTGGATCTTTTAATTATAGAAAGGGGATGGACAATTTATGGGCACGCATTTGCAGAAAGACATTTATGATAGGTTATTTATTGAATTTAATAATGGTTCGGGTGACTTTCATAAAACGTTTATCAACGATCGACTAAAGATACTAGTGAACCTTTTATTAAATGTTAGCTGGAATTACAAAAATATTGTTTGGAATAACAAACAAATTAATAATTGAATGGGCTATTTATTGCCTAAAAGAGCAGTTTTTTGTACAAAAATATTTGTGTTTCGTTAAATTTTTCCTGAGTTTTCCTGATTTTATAACTAGCAGGAGTGCAGTAAGAGATTCTTGTATGCTTTTTTTGAAATTCGTAAAAATCTACCATTAGCATACAATAAAAATATTCTAAGTAAAAATATAAACAAAAATATTCGCCATAAAGAAACCTTATTATTATTTATCCATGTCCATTTAATATCCTTTTGGATCAATATTTTTGGCTTCCATAAAGTCTAGTATACTTCCACTAATGTTTACGCCATACATATTTTTCCACCTAAATAATTTTCTGGATCCTTCTTATAACGAATTTATGGACGCGAAATGGAACAAACCCTAAAGCGTTCACTTATATTATCCTTTAATATCTATTTTATGGAATATATAACCTGCTGTAGTCATATATCAAACGAGATCTATCATTTCAAGGTGGCACACAAGCTGATGGCTATTTTTCGAAGGGACAGGACCTCGCTTGGTTTAGCAGGACCTCTCGATTCCCAATAGGCGTAAACAGAATCGGCTCGAAATTTAATCATATAAAGTCAATTTGATTATACTAAACTAAAGGTATAAAAATTGAAGGATGCCTTATTAGATTCCAATTATAATATCAGTTCCTAATAAAATATAGTTTAATCAGATATATTGTGAGCCAGATTTAATAATATCTTACATTATAATAATTGGTGTAATTATCATTGACTGCTAGATATGTTCTAAACCGATAAATTTGAGTGGCCTTTCAACAATGTTTTTTGAACTTTATATAAAATATCCACTGGAAGTTTCTGGGACATACCTAAGGTCCTGTCCTGCTTTGACATTTCTGTTATAAATTATCGAAAGGAAAAAAGGACATATCCGCTGGATATTGATGTTAAACATCGAATGTAGTAGAAGAATTTTTATAACCAGTAAATTTTGTGTAAATAAATGAGGACAGGAAAATATTGGTGATGTGTAGAAACGGCGAAAAGTTTTGGAACCGATTCAATATTAATATATGAAGGACTAAGTAGAGGGGTAAGAATTTACAAAAATAAACGAGACTCCATATTTGATAGTTGATGGTTATAAAACCAAAAAAATGTGCCTAAAATTTGAGTGGAAATAAAAGTTTGGTTAAGCTAGTTCCAGAAAAAAGTAGGTATAGATACATTTTTATAAATATCGATGGTAAATTCGCTGATGACTTTGCAAAAGACGTAAATATTTAATTGAAAACATACCGCTATAAAACTCATAAGTTATGATGATGTTCATAAAATGCAAGTGAATAAATTATTCTGTTTTTCGAGTAAAATTGCTTGTCAAGGTTGAAATTGTAGCAATATTGCTGTATCAATAACAACTAATGAACATGTAATTGGCAACCATTTTGATTATTAGTTCGAAGAAGTTGAGATAAGTGAGAGAAAACCGCATCAATTTATTGAATATTTAGGTAGCACTGGAGTAAACTCCAAAATATCCTTGAATCTTCTCAAATCATTAAAGACACCTTTTAATTTTCATTTAATTACTTTTGCAATTCTTTTGTAATTTTATAGATCTAATTTGACTTCATTATTTAATCTATTCATCACGATTAGATTGAAATTTGTATAGGTATATTGATTAAACATATCAATATCTACCGTTATCACACGATAGACAACACTCTACACAATATGTGCTTTTGAAAACATAAAAAATGCCAATATTCTGGTCTCTAGGTATATGGAGTAATTTATAAGATTTATGTAAAGAAAAAATCTGGAAATTATTATAATAAATAAAAGTGTTGTTTAAATACTTAATTGATTTTTTTAAGATTTTTTTTAGTATTCGTATATGTACAGAATAAAAGAAAATTTAAACATTTTCTCTTCAAAGTCAGGACCAAAAAACGGATGTCGGAAACTCAGTTAATCTTTATTTTTTATCTAGTTCACACGTCTGTTGGCCTACTCCATTTGTCCCTCCATTTCAGATTGCCCTTCTAGTGTACCCTTGTATTACTCGTACGTTCTGCGCGTCCTCTTCGGACACTTTCTTTTATTTAAATCGAATTATACTCGAATTGAAAGGTTCGGCCCTTTGGACACATCGCATAGGTTTGGTTTGTGTCCCGTATGAGATGATCGGAAGTGCTTTTATTTTAACGAAGTTTCTATATTTTCTTTCACTTTATTCTTCATGTTATTGGAACGTCGTTTTCACCTTTGAACTCGGCAATTATGTTTTTTATGTCATTAAAATGTAGTGGTAGGTTGGGCATAGTTGAATAGTATTTGGAATTATCGTTTTATTGGTAAACGTAGTACATAAAATATTACCCCCATTTGTTGCAATTAATTTTGTGTCTGTATCTGAGAATAATGAGATATGTCCAAATTAAATTTGCTAAAAGCTTTCCTATTAGAAACACCGTAAAAGTGATGACTCATTCTTTTTGTTTCCAACTTGGGTACAGAATTCTGCAGAATCATCGGAATTATAACGAAAGAAGGCTCCACTGAACTGACAATTAAAACAGATACTTGGTGAGTTTTTCTTGAATTTGACGAAAAAAATTACGAAAAATAAAATATTGGAATGAACGATTTTTTAAAACGACTGCTAAAAGTTACCTTCCAAAAGTGCACCGGTATTTTAATACCAATTTTCGATTTTACAACAAATTTCAGTTTCACTTACTTGGGGAAAGACCTAGTCGAGTTTGAAAAGCAATTTTTGATTCTTGGCTGGATGGAAGCGACACTTCCTGTCTCCAAGTCATGTCTGGTTCGTTTAACCATAATTTACCTGAAAAGAGGGAGAAATCCTTAAAAAAAGTCCATAGAAAATATCACATGTAGTAAATGTAGACATCGAGTAGGCAAACTAGATTTTTGCAAAATTATTTTTGATGTTTATTGCAATATTTTTATAATAAATCAAAAATAAAGCGAGAAGTATATTAATAGCGTAACTGGACAAATTGTGAAATATACCAAACGGTCCTGAATTGAAGCTGCATGGGTTCTAAGTCGTGCGAGTGGTGCGAAAGGGAGGCAGGAGTCTCGCGACGTAATATTGATTAGTGCGCCCCTAGTTAGCGCTCAACCCCTCATTTCTTTTCTATCGCAAATGAAGGACAAAATCAACTTCGAATTACAACGCACTGGCGCTACGTTAGCTGGTGCAATTTAGTAGAAAATCGATTTCTTTTATTGTTCAAAACTATTAATAACAATGTTTCTAACTAAAGAATTTTGAACCCTACTAATTAAATTGCAGACAAAAATAATTATAATGTTGGTTTACCGTTTGGTTTGTTATTGTGGTTACCAGCGTATTAATTATTATAACACTATGGTGAATTTTACGTATAGGTAATAAACAGTTAAAATTGAAGAAAAAAATAAAAAAAATCATATCCACAATTTCCAAAGAATACTTGAAATAAACCGACATTCAGTAATGTTCAGAAAGTGTGAGAAATTTCGATTCGACGGTCGTTCTCGCAAGGAATTAGGAGATTTTATTCATCATACGATAATACATTTATAAGTATGTGTGTGGTAAAAAAACGTACACTTGGACTATAATCATCGAAAAAGTCACGACAGCTACCGCTCTTCGAAATAACTTCCATGAAATCCTCATTTAAGTAAAAAATATTTAAAATTAGTCAACGTCGAGACTAGGAACTACTTATTAAGACCCAAAATGTAAATATGTACTAACCCTGAATAGTTATTATAGTCCTGACGAGACCACTGGTTATTAGATCGCTTATATTCTGGGAAAATTGAAATGTTTAAATATTTACGATTTTCTAACGATTCCATTGCTTTAGAAATTGTATGATAGTTTATAAAGTATGTTAAAATTAAGTTATCTACCTGAATTGTATAAACATTTGTATGCAACATCCGTCAAGTACACATACATCAGTATTTAAACTCATTCATGCAAAAATGTGCAAACAACGTCCTTACAGGAAACAGGACAACGTGTCCTCTTCAGCCCTAACATCCCTTCGTCTATGTGACCCAACCAGTCAAGCTTGGTTTGAATAGTCCAGTCCAGAAATTTTTCAGAGCCAGACTATGATATTTGATTTAAATACTAACACTATAAAAGCTAGTTAAGTTTATAGCCTTAAAATTTTCCTTAGTAGGTTATTACAACAACTAATTCTTCTGAATTTTTTGTAATAATTAAAGATTCATGATGGTAAAATACATCCGAATGAAGATTTAAATGTCGTTTGACAAAAAAGTCCGGCACTGGGGCGCGGTTCCGGACAGAAAAAGAAGGCCGCAATTTACTTAGCGACCCGCCGTACGGAATCAAATTGTGAATCTTCAAAAGAAGTGTCTAACCCTCCAACTTACCGGACAAAATGCCCCTATTTCGCCCACGATGCTTTTATTTAACTCGCCTCTCGTTTATCTCTGCAAATCACATAGCCGATGGACGTTAGAACTTAACTTTTAGGAAATTGAAGATTAAAGAGCGTAGCCCGTCACGTTTTATTCCAATAAAAGGGGTTTTAATTACGAAGCTGTAATTTAATTGTATTATCTCCCTATATCTAAGTCGATATTTATCATAATTCTGTATACTATTATTACCGGTTACAAATTTAAATAAAATTTATTTAATTAATAATTTCCCAGAGTTAGATTAATAAATTTAACAGTGCTTTAAAAACCGAGTTTTCACACAATTCATAGATTAGGAATTTTTTAAGAAAACTTTAAAATAAAGTTCAATACTTGCTAAAAATTACGCGAGCACATTCATAAAAAAGCTTCCAAAAGTCTCACTAAAATCTCATTAAAGTTCTAGTTAGGTTGTTAAAAAGAAATAAATTTGAACTTCATTTTTCCAAACATGTAATATAAAAATACATTATTGAGAAAAATGGCGGAGGAATTAGTATTTCAATCGGCTAAATTTTATATTTCTAAAGGTTTACGTTTCTAAAGTTTAGAATTTTCACACCCCTTAAATTTCACAATTAAAAAGAAATATATAAATAAGGAGGAGATCGATTTTTATATAATGAAAGACTATTTACGTAGAGGGATGGTCTCGATCGGGAGGTATCCGCCATCGTTATTTTTTAGCGTATGCAGATGTAAAAGGGGTAGTTTGCATAGCGCAAGCGTATCCCGCCCCATATCTCCATCGATATTATGTAAAAGCGGAACGCGTGCGCGACCTCACACGTTTTACATGTACATTTTTATGAACATCATCCCTTTCGCTGTATAAGATTTCAACCCTTATTCAAAAGGTAGCCAATGGCAACGCGTGGCTGACGGCTCGATTCTGTTCGTCGTAGTTTTTTTATGTGTCAAGATATAAGTCTTGAAATTCGATCACACAGGCATGGATAGCTCGTTTTTTTCTTCTTCTTTATATTTGTTCTTTTTTGTCTGGCTTCCGGTTTGAAATTGTACGGAGGTTGACAATTATTTTATATTGGGGGTAATTTAAGTCGACCCTTTAGATACTCCCTCAAGTGTTGGGCAAACATTCAGGGGACGCGACAGGGGTTAATGAAAGGAACTGCAAATTTTCATACACATCCCTCTATCTAGTCTACATTTATGCCAGCCGTTTATTGCATAAAAGGCTCCAATTTCAGCATGTACCTTCCGTTTATAACAGTCCAATAACTTTTTTCCAAAAATTTCATATCCATTCATTTCCAGTCAATTTACGTTCATATGTAGGTACCTATTATATCTATTACCTACCAGTAACAAAAATATAGAAAATAATTTCTAATAATTAATGTAGCACTGTAACTTTTATTCCAAAATTAATATTTTATTCAATTTCTGAAAAATACCTATACATTCTTATTAGTATACCAACTAACGTATTATTCTAATGATACAGTTACGTATCAATTAGGTGCAAAATTTTTTTACAAATCGTTTGATTATAAAGGATAGTAGACAATAGTATCTCGTACACAATATACCACATGCCGTAGAAGCACCATTTTTTTATAGCAACGAAAACATGTGGTGCTATTGTCATTCGTACGCTTCGCAGTTTCTGCGTATTTACCTGGGGTTCGGTGGATAACACCAAATAGGAAATCTAACCCTGCTTGTTTCTTCCTCACCCCTGCCACCCCCTTGGTCTAACGATTTTGCACATCAGCTGTACTATACAAATAAAAGCAAAACCATATCAAACGCTAAAAGCTCGGATTGTAGGCCCGTGTCAGTTTTTTTTATCTAAGTTCTTTTGATGCACAAAAATAATATTTTTTATTGTCATGGTAATGGCTAAAATGTCTTAAGAAAGCGAATCTGTAACATTGGGATTAAAAAAGGATTTTTGTGTATCGGCTATGGGGGAAAAGATTTTTTTATTCAGAAGAATAGTCGAGGTATTTTATTGTATACAACAGTATGGTATGTGTTGTCCATCATTTTAGTAGTAGAAATGTATTGAGTTACATAAAATTTATTTTTTTTGTTTTAGTATAAGCAATTTAAGCTGTAATTAAATTTGTTCAAAAAAGCCTCAATTTACCAAAAAGCTCTTATTTTAAATAATTTTATAAATATTCCTATATAAATTTTATCCAAAGTTGTTTAAAAATTCTAAGACTTTGCGAACATAAACATCCGCTTTGCGTAGTCAACGTCCATTTTAATTAGAGAGGAAAACTAGAAATTCAGCATTCATCAACTTAACTGGTATCATTTAAATAGCATCTCAATGTTCGACGCAAATAATCCAGGCTTTATTGTTATTTCATGTTAACTGCGTACAGCAGATTTCAGCGTAAAAACTGTTCCCTACATTAATATTTATGTTTCATACATCCTATACGAGCTTCTCATACCGCATTCATTAAAAAAATCGTTTCAAAGGAATAAATCAATTCACACGACATCTTTGCGAGATCAAACATTTTTAATAATCCATAAAATATAGGTAGGTATAATTTTTTTAAATACAGTGCGAACTGAGAAAGGAATAGCTTTAGACGCAAGAGTATGATGCGTATTTTTCTAGTAAAATTCTAATTGTATTTTAAAATGCATTGTATAAAGAGAGCTGTATTATTGAGTCGTTTCTGATATGAAAAACCGTTAAGTTGGCATCTTAATATATTTTTATTTCAAAAATACAAGCATTATATATTAGAACAGTCTGGTATTAAATTTTAAAGCTATAAAAAATTTAACCCGTACTTCCTGCGAAATAGCAAAATAATAAATTATTAAAAGAAAGGGCTCCGAGCCGAAGCGTTTACCGTTGAAAAATGTTTTTGTGTAGCATTTCAATATGATAATGGTTTAAAGCGTGCCCAACTCGTGTGGCTGATACAGTTAAAGGAGTACAGTTTCATTGAATTTGCTACCGAATTCAATAGTCACGAGCCGGAGCACAAACCCTTTTTTTAACAGACGCAAGGCTCGTCGTCGTGTTTAAATAACCCGAGGTCGGGATGTTTTGTTATTGAAGTTCCTTTTTTTAATTCCATTGGGATGTATGTAAACCAATGAACGAGGGTTACCGGTGAAAATAGAATTTAAAATGGTCGATTATCGTTCAAATATTTTGGCGATGAATAAAAAATGCTTCATTTTGCGTTACTTTTTAGGTATTTTTTCTATTCATTCAATAAACATTTTTCCATTTTTTTCATTTTATTTTTAATGTCACCATCATTTATTTTTGATTTAATAAGGTATTTTATAGAAATATAGAAAGATTTTAAATAGCTTTCAAAATTTAAAAAAATTAAAAAAATCAAAATAAATCCGAGATAAATTTTC